ACAGCATCCACAGTTCTTTCGGTTTTTATTAAGCTTTGAATTTTGTTGTGCTATGACCTGTCTGGAAGCGTCTTTTAAACTATTGTCAATAATTATACCTTGACAGGATATAATGTATTAGTCCCATGCCTTGCACTCTGTCTGCAATCAGTGGGAATGGAGATCATTTGGATACTGAGCCTCAAGTCAACTCTATCTCTATTTAATCTTATCATCAATCAAAGGGAATGGTGGTGTAATGTCACTGAGTTAGTCATTCTGAAGACCAGGTTAATGCTCTGGGATCATGGAATCCAATCTCACTCTCACAGGTGATGGAATTTGAATTCAACTGATAAACAGTCTGGAATTTTAAACTTGTGTCAGTAATTGCAACATGACAATTATCACCGATTATTGCTAAAACCCCTATTGGATCCACTTATATCCTTTAGGGAAGGAAATCTGCTGTTCTTACCTGGACTGGCCTACATGTGACTCCAGACCCATACCAACAAGGTTGACTCTACAACAAACAAAAACAGAAATCAATTGTGAAACTCAGCAGGTCTAGCAATATCTGTGGAGATAGAAACAGAGTTAATGTTTTACGTCTGAGAATGAATCTGCTTCACATTGACTTTGTAACTGCCTCTGAAATGGCCCTAGCTAGCATTCAGCTTAAGGGGTAATTAGGGATGGAAATACAAGTGATGCCCTTAATCCATGATAGAATCAAAAACAAAATTTCACCTGTTATTGCATATGATTAGTACATTTACATTCAATGAAGAAGAACATAACATGCTTTAAACAGTTCATAACAACATAAGGGCTAAGAGCAGGGGTAGGCCATTCAGCCCCTCAGGCCTGCTCCATCATTTAATACGATCATGACTGATCTCATCTTGGCCTCCCTCCACTTTCCCGCCCACACTCCATGACCCTTCAGCCCATCACTAATGAAAAATCTATCTCCTCCTTAAATTAATTCAGTTTCACAGCATCCACCACACTCTGAGGTAGTGAATTCCACAAATTCATGATCCTTTGAGGAAAATAATTTCCTCTCATCTTTGATTTATATCTGCTACACCTGATCCTAAAACTATGGCCTCTCTGTCCCACAGGGAAACATCCCTTATACATCTACTTTGTCAATCCCCTTTAGTTTTATATTCTTTATTAATTCATTCACGGGATGAGGGCATCGCTGGCTAGGCCAGCATTTATTGCCCATCCCTAATTGCCCAGAGGGAAGCTAAGAGTCAACCACATTGCCATTGGTCTGGAGTCACATGTAGGCCAGACCAGGTAAGGATGGCAGTTTCCTTCCCTAAAGTACAATACTTAACCAGATGGGTTTTTACGACAATCAACAATGGTCATAATTAGACTCTTAATTCCAGATTTTGAATTCAAATTCCACCAGTGGCCATAGCAGGATTCAAACCTGGGTCCCCAGAACATTAGCTGCGTTTCTGGATTAACAGTCTAGTGATAAAGCCACTAGGCCATCACCTCCTTTAAATCCTTTAACAAGGTTCTATTGGAGGGCGAGTCTGGTTTCCAGCTCCAATAGCGTATATTAAAGCTGGTGCAGTTAAAAAAGCTCGTAGTTGGATCTTGGGATCGAACTGTCAGCCCACCGCGAGGTGAGCTACCGCCTGTCCCAGCCCCTGCCTCTCGGTGCTCCCTTGATGCTCTTAGCAGTGTGTCCTGGGGGTCCGAAGCGTTTACTTTGAAAATCCCCTTTAGTATATTATATTCAACTAAATCGCCTCTCATTCTTTAAAAGGTACATTTTATACGTTTTGTGAATAAGTATTTTTCTTTGGAAACGAGCCTTGTCAGTCCATCAGATTCGGCTGCCTGCTGATTTAACCAGCCTAGCCCTCAGTGCAAGTCTTTAGTAGAGTGTATGAGGGTATCACAGTGGCTTTCTAATTAACACAGAGCCTAAGTTAACCTTGGCTCCTAAACCCACTGGGAATCAACCTTTTGTGACACACGGTGAAACGGTGATTTATTTTTTTCCCTTCCCACACCTCCCAGGTCCACAACCTTTAATTATACGCAGCGACACATGAAACATCACAATGAAGCAATCAGCGGAAGAATGCAAAGAGATGTTATGGTGCTACAAACTATAAAGGCTGCGCTACATTTTTAACACGGTTCCCATTTGCAGAGGCTTCTGAATGGTTGATCAGATTTTCAGTCACATTCCACCGAGCTGTTATCCGGAAGAAAGAAAGCTTATCGGGGTCAATTCTTTCAGCATACTCGCCATTTCTATAAAAAAACAAATAAATCATTGCTATAGACACAACATTGTGATTGTTCTACAACGAACCACAAATATGCTATTAGCGTTGACTCATGGATCAGAGCAGGAATGTTGGCTTTGCTCAGAGATAACGCTCCTAGCTCTGAAATGAAAGTTGCTGGGTGTAAGAACAACATTGTAAACACTAACTGCACAATTCTAGGTTGACAGTGAGAGGCTGAGGGATCGCTAAGCTGCTCTTTCAAGCGGACACAATAGTAGGGCTTTGTGGTGCAGTGGTAGTGTCCCTACCTCTGGGCTAGGAGCACTTGTGTTCAAGTCCCACTTATAGAGTCATACACTTCGCTCTAGAAGTGTGTTGCATATATGTCTGAGCAGATTGATTACAAATTCCTGCAGGACAATGGCACCATCCCACCTTCTGGGCTAGGAGGTGCACAGACCATTGAGTATAGGACTTGGGATGTCATGTTGCGGTTGTAAGGACATTGGTGAAGGCACTTTTGGAATACTGTGTACAGTTCTGCTCTAGGAAGGATTTTATTAAATTGGAGAGGGTGCAGAAGAGATTTACAAGGATGTTACTGGGATAGGAGGGTTTGAGTTATAAAGAGAGTCTGGATCGGCTGGGATTTTTTTCAATGGAGTGTGGGAGGTTGAAGGGAGGTTTATAAAATCATGAGGGGCATAGATAAGGGGAATAGCAAAGATATTTTCCCCAGGGTAGGGGAGTTCAAAATTAGAGGGCATAATTTTACAGTGAGAGGAGAAAGATTTAAAAGGGACGTGAGGGGCGACTTTTTCACACAGAGGGTGGTTCGTGTGTGGAATAAACTGCCAGAGGAAGTAGTAGATGCAAGTACAGTTAAAACATTTAAAAGACATTTGGACAGGTACATGAATAGGAAAAGTTTGGGGATACGGGCCAAATGCAGGCAAATGGGTCTAGTTCAGTTTGGGAAACTTATTTGACATGGACGAGTTGGAGCGAAGGGTCTGTTTCTGTTGAATGACTCTATGACTTTATGATTCTAAACAGATCGATTGTAAAAAAAAAATGCCAGATCAAGTTAGACAGCCTGTGTCTTCTGAGTATCTTTTTGCTCTGACTCCCAGTATCAACAGTATTTTGCCCTTTCTGTATTATATATTTCATGCATGAGAATTTTATTTTAAAAAAGGAACAAAAGTAAGCCATTTGGCCCTTGAGCCTGCTCTGCTCTCCTAGAAGGTGATGGCTGATCTGATTATGGCCTTTGGTCCACTTTCCTGCCTGTTCCCCATGAACCTTGTCAATCAAAAGTTTGTCTGACTCAGCCTTGAAGCAGATTTAACTACTTTCTGAGGGTAAGAATTATAAAGATTGATGATCCTCTAAGAAAAAAGAAATCGTCCTCAACTCCATTTTAAGTAGGGGACCATTTATTTTGAAAATTTATCCTCAAATTCCAGATTCTCCCATAGGAGGGAAACATCTTCTCAGCAGTTGCTCTGTCAAACCCCTCTGAATCTTGTATGTTTCAATTAGATCATTTCTCATTCTTCTAAATTCCAATGAGTATAGGATCAACCTGCTCAACATTTCCTCAAAGGCCACTTTCATTAGTCACTTTCATCTCCTGGTTTCATTCCCTTCCCTCCCCAGGGATTTAGTTTTTGAACTCAAAACCTTGTTGTAAACAAGCATAAATCATTAAACTTTTTTTTATTGGCCAAGGGTTAAACTATGAGGAGAGGTTTCATACTAAGTTTGAAAGTTCCTGACCAGATGTGGTCGGTTAAAAAAAGCAGGTGTTACTTGAAGCTGAGAAAGTCTAAGCTCACGTATGAATACTCAAAAGGGGGAAATTAAGCCACTGTTTAATTAAGACCCATAGATATGAAAGCAAAGGGAATCCTTTCTGGTGTGAGTATTTTAAAGTAGTGCTCTTTAGATTAATGTTGTTTAGAGGAATGGAGTTTAAAAATACGGAGGTTATGCTGTAACTGTATAGGGTGCTGGTGAGGCCACACTGGAGTACTGCGTACAGTTTTGGTCTCATTACTTGAGAATGTACTGGCACTGGAGCGGGTGCAGGTTCAATAGGTTGATTCCAAAACTGGTGGCTCAGTGGTTAGCACTGCTGCCTCATAGCACCAGGGACCTGGGTTCAATTCCAGCCTCAGGTGACTGTCTGCGTGGAGTTTGCACATTCTCCCCGTGTCTGCGTGGGTTTCCTCTGGGTTCTCTGTTTTCCTCCCACAGTCCAAAGATGGGCAGGTTAGGTGGATTGGCCATGGGAAATTGCCTGTAGTGTTCAGGGACGTGTAGTTTAGGTGGGTTATAGGAGGATGGGTCTGGGTGGGATGCTCTGACGGTCGGTGTGGACTTGTTGGGCCGAAGGGCCTGTTCCCACACTTTAGGATTCTATGATTCTATGAAGTGAGGGTTGGATCATGGGGAGAGATTGAGTAAACAGGGACTACACTCATTGGAATTTAGAAGAACAATGGGGGATCTTATAGAAACATATAAAATTATGTTAATAAGGTTCTGGTTAAAACAAAGTTTTCTGTATATGTATCACTTTTTTGTATCCATGATTGCCATGTAAACATCGTGGATTCATTTATTAACATATAATGAATAGTGTTACTTTAAATTCCAAGTGTGAAGACAGTTCTTGACTTTGCCTTGGCACTGACAATTTGATTGTGATGATACAATGGCTTTAAGAGGTGTAATTTATTTTTTTTTATGAGGAAAGGTTGAGCTGAGTGGTCTCTTTGAAGTCAATATAGCAAACAGGTTGTGAAGCCTTGGGACTTTTGTTTAAAGTTGAAACAATAGGAGCAGCCTGAAAATGTGGGGTCAAGCTCCCACAAAACCAGGGTGTTTTATTTTAGTTTTAGCTTTCTGTAGGTGTGGGGTCCTGGAAGCTGGATGTGGAAGCTTTTATTCCTCTCTGTGTTCTAGCTAAAAGCTGGGGTTCTCTTGCTGCTGCTAGAATTGCATGCGAGAAAATCTATTTTACTGAATTTGCCTTTGCCAAGTGTGAACATAAGAGCATAAGGAGTAGGAGCAGGAGTAGGCCATTCAGCCCTTCAAGCCTGCTCCACAATTCAATAAGGTCAGGACTGATCTTCATGTGGCCTCAGCTCCACTTATCCGCCCTCTCATCATAACCCATAATTCCTTTACTATTCAAAAAATTATCTAACTTAGCTTTAAAAGCATTCAATGAGGAAGCCTCAACTACCTCACTAGGCAGGGAATTCCAAGAATTAACAACACTTTGGTTGAAGACGTTCCTCCTCAATTCAGTCCAAAATCTGCTCCCCCTTATTTTGAGGCTATGCCCCCGAGTTCTAGTTTCACTCATTGTAGAAACAACCTCCCTGCTTCTATCTTTTCTATTCCCTTTATAATTTTATTTGTTTCTATAAGATCCCCCTTCATTCTTCTAAATTCCAATGAATGTAATCCCAGTCTATTCTGCCTGTCCTTATAAGCCAACTCTCTGAACTCTGGAATCAACCTGGTGAATCTCCTCTGCACCCCCTCCAGTGCCAGTACATCCTTTCTCAAGTAAGGAGACCAAAACTGCACACAGTGCTCCAGCTGTGGCCTCACCAGCACCCTATACAGCTGCAACATAACCTCCCTGCTTTTAAACTCCATTCCTCTAGCATTGAAGGACAATGTTCCATTTACATTCTTAATTACCCGTTGTACCTGCAAACTAACCTTCTGTGATTCATGCCCAAGAACACCCAGGTTCCTCTGCACAGCAGCATGCTGCAATTTTTTACTGTTCAAATAATAGTCCCTTTTACTGTTATTCCTACCAAAATGGATGGCTTCACATTTATAACATTGTACTCCATCTACCAGACCTTTGCCCACTCACTTAAACTATCCATATCCCTCTGCAAACTTTCAGAGACCTCTGCACACTTTGATCTACCACTCATCTTAGTGACATCTGCAAACTTTGACACAAGACACATGGCCCCAACCCCAAATCATCTATGTAAATTGTAAACAATTACAGTCCCAACACTGATCCCTGTGGCACACCACTAGTCACTGTTCGCCAACCAGAAAAGCACTCATTTATCCCCACTCTGCTTCCTGTTAGTTAACCAATCCTCGATCCATGCTAATACATTACCTGTCACAACATGCCACTTTTTCTTATGCAGCAGCCTTTTGTGTGGCACCTTGTCAAATGCCTTTTGGAAATCTAGATACACCACATCTACTGGGTGCCCGTTGTTCATCGCACTCGTAATGTCTTCATAGAATTCCAGCAAATTAGTCAAGCATGACCTGCCTTTCATGAACCCATACTGTGTCTGCCCAGTGGAGCAATCTCGATCTAGATGTCTTGCTATTTCTTCCTTGCTATTTCTTCCTTGACAACAGATTCAAGCATTTTTCCCACTACAGAGGTTAAGCTAACCAGCCTATAATTCCCCATCTTTTGTCTATTTCCTTTTTTGAACAATGGCATCACATTGGCTATTTTCCAATCTGCTGGAACTGCCCCAGAGTCCAGTGAATTTTGGAAAATTACCACGAGCACATTTGTTATTTCTTCCACCGTCTTTTTTAGTACCCTGGGATGCATTCCATCAGGGCCAGGGGACTTGTCTAACTTTAGCTCCATTAGCTTGTCCAACACTACCTCTTTCATGATAATAACCATGTGTAGGTCCTCACCTGCCTTAGTCTCTTTGTCATCAATTACTGGCATGTTATTCATGTCCTCCACTGTGAAGACTGACACAAAATACCTGTTCAGTGCCTCAGCTATTTCTTCATTTCCTATTATTAAATCCCCCTTCTCATTCTCTAAAGGATCACTGTTTACCTTAGCCTCTCCTTTTTGTTTTATATATTTACAGAAACTTTTGCTATTTGTCTTTATGTTCTGAGCTATTTTAGTCTCATAATCCATTTTCCTTTTCTTTATCACCATTTCTGTGGCTTTCTGTTGACCTTTAAAGTTTTCCCAATCTT